AAGTTGCTGTGAAAACGACAATGAGAACGTTAGAGTTGGAAGGAACGAGCATGACGGTGAACGCACTCCAGAACGAAATCGAGTACAAGGTAGCAGCCGTCGTAGACGTGCAGTTTTCTTCTGTTGCTACAGTTTTTGTCTTTGATCCGGAGAAAAGGTTAGTCTCCCCCATGCCACCCTAACGGGGTCCCAGTTCATGGCACTTACAAGTGTTTTGTGTTTTCAATCGCACTGAGACTGACGTATTTTCATTGGTCAGCCGGTTAGCGCGGTCGATGCTAATAGTAAAAAAAACACACACACACCTCGGCGTACGCCATGCCGTGGCCGTGCGGGCCCTCGACGTTGAAGCGGACCCTGGTTCTCTTGCTCTTGTCGATGGGGTCCTCGTGGTCCACGTGCTCCACGAAGTTCCTCCGCCCTTCTCGGTGCCGGTTGTTGTCCCGCCCGTACCCCTTCAAAGGCGTCCCGAAGTGGTTCGCGGTCTGGACCCCCCGTGTGCGTAGGGGTTTCAGGCAGGGGGGGGTGGCGGTCAAGAGGGGGGACAGGGAAGGGAGTGCGTGCGTTTGTTTTGGGGGAAGGGTGGGGGGGATAAAAGTTTGTAGGGGGGGGGGGGGGCAGAGGGTAGCAACCACCGTTGTAGCTGGATGCCACCACTCATGTTCAGACAGCTTTCGTTTCGTACGTTGCTGGTATGTGATAACGGAGCATAATGTAGAGACTGCCTATGGGGAAAAATAGCTGGACTGAAGCCGCCGGAGTCGTAAAACCATAAATAAACATGGCGTATATAGTTCGTGAAGGCCGTCGTAAGGTACAAACAGCTCTTGCTTGGCGTAATAGTCCAGAGCCCGGGCCTCCGGCCTTGAACAACGACAAGTCTAGGTCCCCCGAGAGCACGAGAGCACTCAGCACCATTGGCCCCGATGATACTGAGAAAGAGGGTCGACTCATGAAAGAGTCACCCACGGCTGAAACATCCTAAAGGTTCAGTCGGCTTGCTTCCCACATCGGGAACTGTTTTGGGGGTCTGTTATTTCTTCTCTACTGTCGTTGCTGGTCTTACGCCGTCATGCTCTCCCGTCAACCACTCCGGTTACAGGGCAGCGTCATGCGGATGGCATTCCTCTCCCCCCGAGGCCCCTTACACGTTCCGTTTCCTCCACCAGACAGATGCGACAAGTGTTCGGAAATACCCCTATTTCTCCCGTGAGCAACTACAGCAGTAGGCCGAACCTTGGTGCGCAGACTCTAGCGCTTTTCTTATCAGATACCGTACGATGCGTAAGATACCCCCCACCTGGACGCATTTTCAAAGCCTGATTACTCCACGACGAAGAGGATGCCGAAATCAAATGGTGCGATTTCGGAAAGCTCTCCACGAAGCATTTCTAACGCCGCCATTTTGGGCACCGTCGCTGTTTTCCTGCCGAGTAATCGAGATCTGAACATCGGTCCAGGGGGAGTGATATCTTACTGTATGCAACCCAGGGACGGTACTTCGTTTCATCACGGGATTGGAACCCCCAGGTCCTCTGAGGTTCGCCGACAACAACTCATGGCGGTGCAAATGAATGCAGAAAATAAATCCAAGTCTCCCGCAGGTGGCGGCGGCGTTTCGCCATCACACGACTCACATCAGGGTCGGCTTGAAACACGTCGTGGGCGTGCGACATGATGGACTGGGGCGCCATGTGGCTGGGCCAGAGCTCCGTGATCGTGGCGCTGAGGGCCGCAACGACCAGGCCGAGGACGCAAACGCCGGCCACGGTCTTGACGATCGATATCTTCTCCTCGGGTTCCGGCTCGTAGTCGGCGTCCTCGTACTGCTGCTCCTCTCCTTGCTGCTTTTGCTGCTGCTGCTGCTCGCCTTTCGAGTCGTCGCCTTTCCGGCTAGCCTTGCTCATCATGCCGCGCTTGCTGCTGCTGCTGCCGGCGGAGAAGGTTTCCGCGGTTGCCCAATGAGGGAGGTGGTGCTGATGTGCTGCTGTGGTCGATTGCACCCATCGCAGGCCGCAGGCTTGCCGTCTCCGGAACGGGAATAGCGATGAGGATGCCGCCCGGGTAGCGCCGCGGGCTCCGATTCGACTTAATGGTGAGCAGGAGGTAGTGGTGTACGAGGCGTCGAGGTTCCCGCTGGTGTTGAACGGCGCTGCTGCGCTCGTTGCCGCTGCTGCCTGTTGTGCCCCTGCAGCAGCAGCAGGTCTTACAAGTGGCTGACCTCTTCTCGCGGACACAAGTATGGAACGGCGCCCCGACACCCGAAGCACGCCGGCCAGTGACGACATTACCACCTACGGCAGTATTAGGTACACGGGTTAGCAGTGCTGTCGTCAGTGCAGTGCCGCACACAGCGAGCACGAGAGATTCCCAGAAGGGCATTGTGTCAAAGGCTCGGGGCCCGCAGGATGGTGTTCCTTGTACCCCCCGAGGTACGAAGATCCCACTCCAGCCGTGTGCCCCCTATTCAAGCATGTCATGTGGACCACGTGCACATGCGGCGGACCGAGGGTGCTTGCGCCACCTTGTGCCAGGAGGACTGCATAGCCCCCGCAACAGCTGCAAGCATCCACCGACAGCAATACGAGGAAGTGTAGGAGATGAGCAACTTCTGACTTACCAGGGAGCCCAATACAATATTCTTGTCTTGTTCGGGGAATCTTCCGTGGTTTGCTTTCGGAGACCACCACAAACCATTCGGCTTGGGAGGCGGCAGCGAGAGGCACAGAGTCAGAAGAGGAGAGCTTACCTGCACTGCCTGGTGGAACGGAGTTCTCTCGTTCTGTGACTCCTTGCCACTGCTCCTTGAGGCATCATGGGCATCCTGAAGCTCAAGAGGCTCCTGAAAAGCATCGCTGGAAGGAAGGCAAGTGTTTTTGCCAATCAGGAGTGATGAAAATGCCTCTGCCATGGATACCGAAGTGTGGGCATACCTTAAGAAGAGTCGGAGAAATGGCACCCCGTATTAGCGTTTTTTTGTAGCGTATTTCTCCACAAGTAGGAGGGTGCGAACACCAACCGATACCTCTCAGGAAAGCCCTCGACGAGATGTTTCCAAAACTACCCTTTTCGGCAGTGGTACCCTCCTGGTTGTGGAGAATTTACGCTATACAAAAACGCTGACACTGGGGTCCCATCTCTCCGACTCTTACGGTGCATGCAGGCAGAGGCACACGCCCCAGCGGCTGCCTCTGCTGTTGTCACACACAGCAGCATCCACCTGCAAGAGAAACTGGGGCTGTTGACAAAAGTGGGTTGCTTGACCGCTACAAAGGGACGCATGCTCGACGTAGTTGCAGCACATGCGGGCTGCTGAGTCGCGCTGCTGTAAACAAACGCCGATTATGTAGGCTGACTCTTATGGCAACCGAAAGTTGGCCCGACGGATTTTTTTGGACTGGCATACCCCCACCCCCCGGATTGGCTTCGACCAAGAGACAGACCTCTCACCACATCACCACAGAGTTCTCCCTCCATGATGGTCGGATCGTCACCAGAACTTGAAGGCTGTACGCACCACACCTGTAGGCGTCTTTAAAGCTAGTGGTGACTGCTGTGGGCTCTGTGGCCAAACGATCGTATAGCATCTCCTACGGATTCTCCATACGGATTCTTACTTTTGCTCACATGGATTGACATTCCTCAGCACACACAGACCCACCCCACAGCAGTCACCACTAGCTTCAAAGACGCCAACAGGTGTGGTGCGTACAGCCTTCAAGTTCTGGTGACGACCCGACCATCATGGAGGGAGACCTCTGTGGTGATGTGGTGAGAGGTCTGTCTCTTGGTCGAATCCGTGGCAAATCCGGGGGATGGGGGTATGCCAGTCCAAAAAAATCCCGTCGGCCCAACTTTCGGTTGCCATAAAGAGTCAGCCTTTTTATGTAGCCGGATGTGTTGGTCCGCAATGGCGGTTCTCACGCGCAAACCCCTACCGGAGCAAATGAGGTGCCCTCGGTTTTGTTTAGCCCCCCAACCGCACGGCCACTGCTGCTGCTGCTGCTGCTGCTGCTCTACCCTTTTTTTTCGGCGAACATGGGAAGATGTTTCTCCGGGCGTGTGTAAACAGTAGTGAACAATGGCATGGGATGACCCCCGCAGAGGGTTGTGTGAAGAAGTAGAGTTCTCACATTCTCACGACCGCTGTGTTGAAAATGCACTGGTTATCTGCGAAAGGCTACGGCTGCTGTGTAGGTGCAAACAGCTTTTCCCTTGTCGACATGTTCTCAGAGGGTGTGTCGTCGAAGTCTTCAAACTGCAGTGTGTTGACGTGTTGAGTGTTTTTTTTCTCCTCTCCTGCATATTGTATGAGGTGTTATTACATCACTTCAAGCCGCACTGGCGGGCAGTCTATCTTCGTCGTCACCCGTTGTTTCTCCGACATTCCCGACTCGGGTGAATACCTCTACATATGCATAGCTTTCCCCCAAAGTCCCGCGGAAGGCACAAGAGTCTCCTAATGTGAACGGTTGTTGCCTACTTGCTGTTCGTGTGCTCGTCCCGACTCCAACTCGAACCTGGATATATTGGAGGATGTGATTTATTAAGTACTTCGAAGTGCAGCAAATTACTGCTGTATCCCCGCTGGATTTTCTTGTTGACAACCTTCGCCGCGAACGAATTTTGTTCCTTTCGTTGTTGTTGTCTTGAAGAAAAAGCGTCCAGTCAGTTGACTCCCCCCAAATGATCATCCTTTTTGCCACAAGCAGACTTTTGGGAGCGCAGGTCGTTCCCGAGTTTACGACTCCCTTTTGATCAAAAGGTGATGGTGCCCAATCCGTAAGAGTAGCGCGTAGCGCGCTACTCTCATTGGCTTGCTGCTTAGACTCGACCAGTACTACGGCGTCCTGGCGTGCTGTGCAGACGATTGACAGCTGAGGGGGGGGGGGGGGGGGGGGGCCCCCCCCCTGGGAAATTTCCCAAAACCGGGGGAAAT